GCCCCTAAAACAGGGGAAGAGAGGACGGATGGAAGGGGGAGGGAGAAGGATAGAGCACGAGAGAATTTAGCAGGAGGGGAGCTAGGAGCAGAAAACACGTGGTAGAATCAGACGGGCAGAGCGGGCGGGCAGACCCTAGTAGGCGGGTCGGGAAGGTGGGCCCAGGCGGCCAGGTCGAGCAGCCGGTCTGTTGAAGCATCAGTCCCGCATGAATCGCGAGGAAGTCTCGAGCGACAGATCGATTCCCAAGTAAATCGCGAAAAAGGCCAAAGCGAGAGCATGATTCTTGAGTGTCGAGGGCGCGGCGCTTGAATAAATTACGAGGAAGTCCCCCGCGAGAGCGCGATTCCTGCATAATTTGTGAAGACGTCCTGCGTGAGAGCGCGGTTTCGGAATAATAAACTGTGAAGAGGTATCAGGCGGTAGCCGTTGTAGTTGTAGCCAGGGGGCCAGGGGCACAGTTTGAGCATGAAGATCTCCCTTGATATAAAACAGGGTGCGAGCCCCGAGGGGAGCACTTCCATTGATAAAGTTCAATGTGCACCAGGCGGGGGGTTCAACAAGAATTCCTTCCCAACCCTCCCTTGGTTGGGTTCTCGTTTTGAATACTGTCTGCCCCGTCCTCCTTCCTCCTCCCCTCCTCCCTCCTCCCTCCTCCCTCCTCCCTTCCTCGCGGGCCCTGCGGGGCTGCGAACCGCGCAAGTGTCGTCATTGTCGTGGGTTCCTGGGAGGTCCAGTCGGGGCGGCGGCGCACGCGGACTCAGCCGAGACCTCGCGGCTCCTTGCGGGGAAGGTCCACGCGGATTTGCCGAGACTTCGCGGTTCCTTGCGGGGCTGCGAACCGTGCAAATGTCGTCATTTTCGTGGGCTCTTGGGAGGTCCAGCAGAGTGGAGGTCCATGCAGATGTGCCGAGACCTCACGGTTCCTTGCGGGGTTGCGAACCGCGCAAGTGTCGCCATTGTCGTGGGTTATTGGGAGGTCCAGCAGAGTGGAGGTCCACGCGGATATGCGGGGACCTCGCGGCTCTCTACGGGGCTGCGAACCGCGCAAGTGCCGCCATTGTCGTGTGCTCCTGGGAGGTCCAGCGGAGTGGAGGTCCACGCGGATCTGCCGAGACCTCGCGGCTCCTTGCGGGGCTGCGAACCGCGCAAGTGTCGCCAGTGTCATGGGTTCCTGGAAGGTCCAGTCGGGGCGGCGGTGCACGCAGACTCAGCCGCGACCTCGCTGCTCCCTTGCGGGGCTGCGAACCGCGCAAGTGTCGCCGTTGTCGTGGCCTCCTGGGAGGTCCAGCGTAGCGGGTGGAGGTCCACGCAGATATGCCGAGACCTCGCGGCCCCCTGCGGGGCTGCGAACCGCGCACTTATCGCCATCTTCGTGGGCTCCTGGGAGGTCCAGCTTGTTTGTATTGAGCGGTTCTATGTATAGCCGTCTCATGTGTGCAAAGTGTTGGGTGCGTCGCCGGGTAACTATTGTCAAGAATGGGAGTTCAACAACCACAACAACAGCAGCAACAACAACAGCAACAACAATTATTACTACTACTACGAGTACCACCACTACTACTACTACTACTACTACTACTACTACTACTACTACTACTACTACTACTACTACTACTACTACTACTACTACTACTACTACTACTACTACTACTACTACTACTACTACTACTACTACTACTACTACTACTACTACTACTACTGACTACTACTACCACCTCTACTACTACTGCGACTACTCCTACTACTACTACTACTACTACTACTACTACTGTTCCTACTACTACTACTACTACTACTACTACTACTACCACTACTACGACTACGACTACTACACGATACACTAGTACTACTACGATTACTACTACTACGACTACTACTACTACACTATACTACTACTACTACTACGACTACTACTACTTACATCACTACTCGCTACTAACGACTCACACTACTACTACTACTACTACTTACACTACTACTACTACCTTACATACTATTTCTACTAATACTACTACTACTACTACTAATACTACTACTACTACTACTACTACTAACTACTACTACTACTTACACCACTAGACATACTACTACTACTACTACTATACTACTACTACTACTACTACGACACTAGGGCTACTACTACTACTACTACTACTACTACTACTACTACCTACTTCTACTACTACTACTACTACTACTACTACTACTACTACTACTACTACTACTACGACGACTACTACTACTATCACTACCACTACTACTGCGACTACTACGACTACTACTACTGACTACTACTACTACTACTACTACTACTACTACTACTACTACTACTACTACTACCACTACTACTACTACTACTACTACTACTACTACTACTACTACTATTAGCATGACTGTTCGCTCTTATCTGTTCGCGTGTCCATCCCAAACCCTTGATACCTACCCTCGGTAGTCTTCGATTGTACCACCTTGGTGGCATATCTTCCTTACCTGCCACGCGTAGTTGGCGCAGCCCCTAAAACGGGAGAAGGGGGGAGGAAGGAAGGGACAAGGGGAAGGGAGAAGGATGGAGCATCAGAAAGATTAGCAGGAGGGGGGTTAGGAGCAGGAAAACACGCGGCTGAACCAGACGGGTGGACCGGGCGGGCAGACCCTAACGGGCGCGTCGGGCGAGCGGGCCCAGACGGCTGGGTCGAGCGGGCGTGTCGCTGAAGCATCAGTCCCGCATGAATCGCGAGGAAGTCTCGAGTGACAGCGCGATCCCCAAGTAAACCGTGAGGAAGGCCAGAGCGAGAGCGTGATTCTCGAGTGTCGGGCGCACGTTTTTGTAAATAAATTGCAAGGAAGACCCCCACGAAAGCGCGATTCCTGAGTAAAGTGTGAGGACGTCCCGCGCGAAAGCGCGAATAATGGTGAGGAGCTATCAGGGGGGAGCCGTTGTTGTTGCAGTTCGGTGGCGAACAACGCAGTCTGAGTCTCAAGGTTTTCCCTCGTGGAAAGCAGGGTGCGAGCCCCAGGCAGGGCATTCCATTTGAGGAAACACAATGGGCATCGGAGGAGTGGGGGGATCAACAATAATTGTTCTTTAGAAGTGAGACTTTAACAACGGCACCAACAACAAGCAACGACAAACAAAAAAAAATATCCTGGCGAAAGACCCAACCATATGCAGTTGTGAGTGCCGCAATTGTGAGTACCTTCTTCGGTGGCGCTCCCTATGGGGCCACGAACCGCATGAGGGGTATGCCGAAATATGGCGGGGTACACAACGACGACGACGACGACGACTACGACGACACCGACGACGACGACGACCACGACGACGACGACGAACATCTATGTCCATGGCTTTATGAATCCGTTCGTACGGTTGGAGAGGCCATGAGACACCCGTCGCTGAAGAATCCTAGACACTGGTCGGGGCCAGGCCACACGCCGCGATGGTTCGGATTCTTTGCAATGGATGGCTTCACAGCTAAGTGGACTCAACAAGCACGGACAATGATGATGCGCGCGGGCAACAAAGAGAAGGAAGCGAGGAGGAGGGAAAGGAGGAGGAGGGGGAGGGGACCCTCTCTCCCGTTCGCCTGTGGGGCCGCGAGCATGACGCCGACGGCGGCGCCGACGGCGGCGACGGCGGCATCGGCGGCGGCGACAGCGGCCAGGGCGGTCCTTCTTCCTCCTCCTCCTCCTCCTCCTCTTCCTCCTCCTCTTCCTCCTCCTCGTCCTCCTCCTCGCCCTCCTCCTCCTTTCCTCCTCTCTCCTCCTCCTCCTCCTCCTCCTCCTCCCTCCCTATGGGACCACGAAACGTGTGAGGGGTGTGCCAAAGTGGGTCTGCGGCGCCATGTGGGGTGCGCCACTTGGACCTGAGATGGAGCTCCCTGTGGGGCCACGAAACGTGTGAAGGGGTGCCATGCGAACTGCACCACTGGGACCTTAGGTGCAGCTCCCTGAGGGGCCACGAAACGTGTGAGGGGTGTGCCAAAAAGGGGCGGTGGCGCCATGCGAGCTGCGCCACTTGGACCTCAGGTGGAGCTCCCTGAGGGGCCACGAAATCTGTGAGGGGTGTGCCAAAATGGGGCGGTGGCGCCATGCGAGCTGCGCCACTTGGACCGTAAATGGAGCTCCCAATGGGGCCACGAAACGTGTGAGGGGTGTGCCAAAAAGGGACGGTGGCGCCATGCGAGCTGCGCCACGTGGACCTTAGGTGGACCTCCCTATGGGGCCACGAAACGTGTGAGGGGTGTGCCAAAAGGAGCTCCCTGAGGGGCCACGAAATCTGTGAGGGGTGTGCCAAAATGGGGCGGTGGCGCCATGCGAGCTGCGCCACTTGGACCTCAGGTGGAGCTCCCTGAGGGGCCACGAAACGTGTGAGGGGTGTGCCAAAATTGGGCGGTGGCGCCATGCGAGCTGCGCCACTTGGACCGTACATGGAGCTCCCTATGGGGCCACGAAACGTGTGAGGGGTGTGCCAAAATGGGCGTGCGGGACGCATGCGGGCACACCCATTGGGACCTTCGGTGGAGCTCCGTATGGGGCCACGAAACGTGCGATGATGGCGACGAGGACAACGATGATGGTGATGACGACGATGATGGTGATGATGACGATGATGGTTATGATGGCGGCCATGATGTTGATGCTGATGACGATGATGATGATAAGGATGATGATAATGATGATGATGATGACGATGATGATGATGACGATGAGGATGATAGGAGGGGAGAGGAGGCGGAGGAGGAGAGGAGGAGGAAGGAGACGCGGGGGGGCTACGTGCGAGGAAGGAGACGCGGGGCACCGTCTCTTCAAAACGAGGACCCAACACCACAGGATGGTTGGGAACAAACATTTAACTTAGATATGAAGAGAAAGAGAGAGAGAGAGAGAGACACACACACACAAAAATGGGAAGGGCAAGGCAGGCTTCCAAGACTGGCCCCCAGCGGGGCGCGGTCGGTCCAGCCTGCCCGACAGGCCTCCAGCACGGGCCGCAGCCACTCCGGCCCAAAGCCGCAGAGTACAGGTGGCCCGCGCTGCCAGTTCGTAACAGCCCTCCCCGAGATCCGACGCCACGAAAGCATGCAACACCGCGAACAAGCCTCGACCAGAGCCCTGGACCCCTGATCTCCCTGCCACACCTGCTGCGAGCCGGATCGAGACGTGACGGCCCCTTGGGCCCAAAAAGCGGGGCCACACCGCCCGCTGCGCAAAGGCGGCGGCGCGGGCCGCGCGCCCGAAGCGCCAGCCAGCCCTCCGCCGCCCCGCGCGTCGGCGAGATGCCTGCCGCCGGCCCCCGCTCCCGCGCCGCGCTGCCCGCGCTCGCGCTCGCGGCCGCCGCGTGCCTGCTGGGCGCCCGCCTGGCCTTCGTGCCTTCGCCCGCGGCCCCGGCCGCCGCCGAGGCCGCGGCGCCGCGCGGAGCCGCCGCCGCCGTGGCTGCCGCCGCCGCCGCTGCCGGGCGGCCGCCGCCGCTGGGCGTCCGCCGTCGCCGCAGCGCCAGCCGCCAACCGCCGCAGCTCCTCGCCGTCTTCCCCTGAGGCCCTGGCGTTGCAGTCTGTTCGCCACGTACCAGGAAGCTGGATACACATGACTTGGCCAGCCTGGGCGAGAGCTGGGTGCACACGAGGCCACACGTCTCTCTCTGGTGCTCGTTCCTTCTAGGTCCAGGCACGCAGGGCGTCCGCATGTGTACCCAGCGCGTGGCCTTCAGATGCTCTGCATGTGAATCCAGACACGTGGGTGTCCAGCTTCCTGGTACCATGTTTCTTCCTTTCTTTCGTGGCCTCGGATCTGAGGGTCGTCCTCGTCCTCGTCCTCGTCGTAGTCGTCGAGGTGGCAGCGCTGCGCGGGGCCGCCGCCGTGGCCGCCGCCGCCGCGCCGCTGCCCGTGCTGGCGGAGCCAGACGAGCTGGTCGACTACAATTTCGCTGGGGAGTTCACGCCGTTCTTGATCATCTCGGCTGCACGTAAGAGTGGCCCTTCGCCACATTTCGGCCACGCGCGGAGGGGGGTGGCGACGGGGGAAGGCTTCTTAGAAGCACCCCCGCCTCTTAAAAGGCGCGGGGCGTGTCTATCGATGTCAGTCCAGCGCCTTCCAAGAAGCCTGCCCCCCCTTCCCCCTACCCCCTTGCACGCGCTGCCACACAGTGACCCAGATCTCCGACGACAGTTGTTCAATCCCGCCGTTTTCTTTTAGACTTCGGCCTCCAGGGCCCGCTCTCGGGCCCCGGGACCAGCAACTTTGGGACCATCCAACATGAATCGGGGACGGAAAAAATCCCCTGGAGAAGCGATCGGGACCTCTGGGGCCGCGGATTGAAAAAACATACCGGCGGATGACTCAGCATCTTCCAACCTATCCATGGTATCTCAGCCCCACCAGCCAGCCCTCCATGGTGGGGATAGACCCCGAGAAACACGAAGGAACCAGCATATCTCCCCACTTAGGTGGGTACGTCGGCCAGCGGGGCCAAGTCCACGCCAGTGGGCACAGGGGTCGATTAAAAGATGATCGGTGACCTTTGGCGCGCGGCTTTCGGGTGGCGTGGGGGAGGGGTAAGCCCAAGCAGGCAGGCCGCTGCCGTCGCATCGCGCGTCATTCTGGCCGAGGATCACTCTTGCGTGCAGCCGATCATCGGGTACTTCACGCTGACCACCGCCCTGACGGGATTCTCCTTCGTCTCGTACCTCGTGCTGACGAAGCTCAAGATTATCTGAGAGTGCCAGGATCGTCTTGCTCTGGTCTTGGTGCCAGGTCGGTTTTCTCCAGGTATGGAGGCTGGCCCCGACTCTTTGTGTTGGCGGGTTTGAGGCATCGGACTGAAGGGATGATTTGAGGCCTTCGGCGAATTTTCACACAAAGAAACACGCGCGCGAAGGGTGGGCGTACCGTACGTTCGGCACGTGCTCAACGCAGAATATGTAGGCCATTGGAGCGCTTGACATGGCACGTGCTCAGCGTCTCACACAAAAGCCTGGGGGATGTTCAGCATGCATGTTGCATGTGGCACGTGCTGTAAAGTATGGCCTGTAGGCCAGGGGAGTATCCAAGACGCCTCCAGCGCATCACCGCCGCCCTCTGCCTTCTGGAATCGCCTCTGTGTTGGAATTTCGGGCGTCAGTGCGGCCATGCTAGTGGACCGTGTGTTCCCCGAGCTGTTCGGGGAGGGACCCACCGAGGGACAACATCAGGGAGCGACCCTCTTGGAGTGTCGTGGGGCCGTCTTGGTGTCCCTCTCGGGCTCTTGGGGCCTTCTTGGTGGCCTCCTGGGGACCTTGCCTTTCGAAGCTTGAGGCGGGGCGTGCACACCTGGGTTTGGATTCTCGCTTCGGCGAGTTGACATCGCTTGCGTACTTCCGCTGCTCCTCAGGCGTTTGCTGCCCACGCCTTCTGGGAACGTCAGGGTGCCCGAACAATATGTCAAAGCGTGGCCAGGGGATTTGGGCATGTGTTCCTCCCGCCGTCGTCCAGCCCATGGGAAGGCACATTTGGGGACGCAAGACATTGGGAGGAGGAGGAGGAGGAGGAGGAGGAGGAGGAGGTGGAGGTTCCCAGAATCTTCTTGGAGGAGAGAGACATTGGTGGAGGAAGAAGTTGCGGAAGCAAGCCAGTGCGCGTGCAGCGGGTTGAGAACCCGCAATTGCCAGGATCTGTGAAGTCACGAGTTGTTTTTGCTGATTTCATACCAGGTGCGTACACTGGACAGGTCCAGCACAGCAGACGAGTTGTACTTATGCAAGCATGTCATAAGTCGCAGACCCCAGGGCGCTTTGCCTTCATCCTGAAACCGAGAGAGAGAGAGAGGTGGCACGTGCGTGCCCAGATTCGAGCACAAGAAATGTAGCACGTAAGCATCGCAGAAGATGGACAAGAAGAGGGATCTGAAGTCGGATCCGAGGAGGAGGATGTGGAGGAATCAGGAGATGGAGAAGCAGAGGATAAAGGAGAGAAGGAGGATACTGAGGATCACAAGATGATTGTTGGGAATGAGGTGCTACAGCGGGATCGCAGTCGAACGTAAGTGAAGTTGACGCACCTAGAGATGAGTGTGACTGAGGCGAGGCTTCCACACCGTGTGATAGCAGTTGAAAGCAAGCTCCGAAGTTAACTTCAGGAGAATGTCTCGAGCGAAACTGTCGCTTACATCAGATGCTGGGGTACTGGGGGCTCAGAGCCCGGGCCGGGACACCCTCCCAGATTCCCCCCCTTTTTTTTGGCCCATTACGTTTTTGCCCCCCTCTGGGGCCTCTGGGGTTCCCCTCCGGCAGATTGCAATAGTTCTGGAGGTCGCATGAAAGCGACCAGAGCAGCCCAACAACGTCGACAACGCCCCAAGATTGCCACAAGACGGCCCAAGAGGCACCTAAGACCCCCGAGAAACTTGCAAGATGCTCTCCGAGAGGGCCCAGGAGGCCAACATTGAACGTACATGTTCAGCATATTCGCTTTGGGGGCCGTAAAAGCGGACGGCACAAGAGGCCCCCGAGATCGGCCGAAGACGGCCCAAGAGGCCCCCAAGAGGGCCCCAGGACGGCCCACGAGAGCCTCAAGACGGTCCAAGAGGCGCCCAGGACGGCCCAAGAGGGCCCCAAGAGGGGTCCAAGAGGGGGGGAACTCCACGCGACATGTTGAGCCCTCCGCCACAAGTGGGCCCCTGGGCCACCAGCAGGCACCCATGAGGCTGCCAAGAGGACATCGAGGGCCCCAAAAGAAGTCCCAAGAGGGCCCCGGACGGCCCCCAAGAGGTCCCCAGAAGCTTCAAGAGCCGCTCCACGAGGCGCCCGAGAAGCATGCCAAAACAGACCCCGAACTACAGTTACCAAGAACCCTCTGCCCAAAACTCAGGCACAGTCGCGGCATGGGCCGAAGGTCATCGATAAACAAGCAGTTGGCTTGGCGACGGACCCATCCCTATGCAGTCATGTGTAGCGCAGGGCGCGGGTCTTTCTTCATATATTACGCGCCGTGGGTCAATGAGGAAAGCGGGCTGCTGCGGAGCACGCATGCACAAGTGCGCTGAATTCTTTGTGGGGCACGATCCGCGTGAAGGGTGTGCCAAATCATTCGAATGCCCCCGCGCGAGCACGCCCACTGAGGTTGCAGGTGGACCACCTCCGTGCACGACCCGTACGAGGCATGTTCCGAGATGGGCGGAGGGACGCCATGTGAAGTTGCCCATGTGTGCCATAGGTGGAGCCCCATGTGGGGCATGATTCGCGCGACGGGTGTGCCGACATGGGTGGGGGGGCGCTGTGCGAACCTCGTCTCTGAGCTTTTAGGTGGTGTTCCTTGCGTGCCCGATGCGCGTGATGGGGTGTGCCGCAATGGGCGGGGGGGCACAATTCGCAGAGGTCGGCCGTAACGGGTCACATCTGGATGTAACCAGTTACGGTTGATTTGCGCATTTGTTGACGCGCGTTGTTCCAATGAGGTTTTCGGTGGAGCGCCATATGGGGCCACGAAACGTGTGAGGGCGAGCTTTGCTATTGGGGCGAGTGTGCCGACATGGGCGTGGAAGTGCGTGCGAACTCTCCCATTGGGGGTTTCGGTGGAGCTCACGATGGTGCCACGAAACGTGCGAGGGGGTGTGCAGAAATGGGCGTGGAATCGCTTGCGAACCCTGCCACTGTGGCCTTCGGTGGAGCTCCCTGTGGGGCCTCGAAGCGTGTGAGGGGCGTCCCGAAGTTGAAGTGGAACCCCATATGGGCCCTCCTACAGGGGCTTTCGGTGGAGCTCCCTGTGGGGCCACGAAACGTGTGAGGGGTGCACCGACATGGTGGTGGAACCGCATGCGACCCTTGCCAGTGTGACATTATTTGGAGATCCCTTTCGGGCCACAAACGGTGTGAGGCGTGCACCGGAACTGTGGTGGAGCCTCATGCAAAGCTTGTTGTTGGGGCCTTCGGTGGAGCCCTTTTTAGAGCCACGGAACGTGTGAGGAGTATGCCGAAATTTGGTGGAGCCTCATGCGAACCTTTCTATTGGAGCTTTCGGTGGAGCTGCCAATGGGGCCACGAAACGTGTAAGGGGCGTCACGAAAGTAGGGGTGGAACAGCAAGCTAACCCTGCCGCTGGGGCCTTCGATGGAGCACCCATTCGGGCCACGAAACGTGTGAGGGATGTGCCGACATGGGCGTGGAACCACAAGTAAACTTTGCATGTGTGGCATTATGGGGAGCCCCTTGTGGGGCCTCGAAGCGTGTGAGGGGCGTGCCGGAATGGGAGTGGAACCGCCTGCAAACTTTGCTATTGGGGCTTTTAGTGGAGCTCCCAACGGGGCCACGAAACGTGTGAGGGATGCGACTGACTGAGGGTGGAACCGCATGCAACCCTTGCCATTGGAGCTTTCAGTTGAGCTCCCGATGGGGCCACGAAGCGCGCGAGGGCTGTGCCGAAATTGTGGTGGAACCGCGTGCAAACCCTGCTACTGCGCTTTCGGTGGAGCTCCCTGTGGGGCCACGAAATGTATGAGGGGTGTGCCAAAATGGCGTGTAACCGCATGCGAACCCTGCCGCTGGAGCCTTCGGTGGAGCTACCAATGGGTTGATGGGACGGTGGTGACGACGATGATGATGATGATGATGATGATGATGATAATGACGACGATGACGATGACGATGACGATGACGATGATGATGATGATGATGATGATGATGATGATGATGATGATGATGATGATGATGATGATGATGATAATGATGATGATGATGACGATGGTGATGATGATGACGATGAGGATACGCGGAGGACAAAGGCAGGGATGAGAGGAGGAGGGGAGGAAGGAAGGAAGGAAGGAAGGAAGGAGGGACGCGAGGCGTTGTCTATTCAAAACGAGGGCCCAACACTACAAGATGGCTGGGAACTAATATATGGCGATATGTTAGCAGAAGGGAAGTACAAGATCATAATAGAAGATGGGGGCACTTGCCAAATTGAAGCCCACGCAGCCCCAATGAATAGCTAAGCTGAGCTTCAGAGGACAATCGGGACCTGGGAAGGCGAGAGGACCAGAATCACTGAAACATAATAGTTGATTTCGGGGGTGGCATACTCAGGAGACCGGGGCCACCTCACAGCCATTTTAGGGCCGTCTTGGGACTTGTTGGAGCCATCTTGGAGGCCACAAGGGCTAAAATTGGCCACACTTGCCATCTTGGAGGCCATCCAGGACTGCTCGGGTCATGTGCGAGCCATCCAGAGCAACATTGGACGCTCCAACCCCGCGCGACGTTGAGGGTCTTTTCTGGAAGAGTTGATCCGCTAAACCACCCACGCACAAAAGGGCTGATGCGATTGGCTCATATGTTCAATGTGTGGGGCGCCAGCGCTCATGTGCTCGAGGGTCCTCATTCCTTGATGCATACCCGGCGGCAACCTTCTAGACGAATGTAGCCCCCCAGATGCATTAAAAGGAGGCCGAATATGTAAACTCAGTTTTGAACTTGGCATGCAAACGTTGATATAGCGTTGCGAATGGTAGCGGAAGGGGTACCCTCCAAAAATTTGGCAATGTGGTTTCAATATTCAAAACATATGATGAAAATATGGTCGTGGAGATGTTTCAGCAAGTCTTCGTGAAGCATGAAGTTCCTCTCACCTTGACGTGTCATAATCGACGCCAGTCACTTGGTACCCAAGAGTTGTTCCATTGCCAATTGATCAACCCAGGTTGAGAGTCGGCATGAAAGTCTTCCAGTGTCAAGCTGCCTTCTAGGTAGTGCAACGGAAAGGATAGGGAATTCATTGCCCAGACGTGGTGGGTATTCCGCTTCGGGATGTCATCGTATCCTCCTGTCCGTGCTGTGCATGACGGAAACGAGTTTTCAAGCACTCTCCGACCTTCAAAGTCTTGGTTATTGGATCGCTTTGCTCATTCCGCCGGCCCATATCTTGTCATTGTTAGCATGTGAATGTGCTGAAAAATGCCATAGGTGAGAGTGTGAGGCAAAGATGGGCCACAAATGCAGGTTCGAAACTACGCACGATCAGTCGATGGAGCATTCATTCTCGAATTAACAGGGAGCCCAAGAATTCAAGACGGCAAGAATATGCATGTGCAACATAGAGACGTCTATGTCATTTGCCACTCTCACCGTCGGGGGACTTCTGCGAGCACTCTGGAATCCTGGTGGGGCCGTTGCTGTCTCTGAGGGGATTCAGGGGGCTTTCTATGTGTCTCTCAGTGTCTTCGCGCATCGGTGTCTCTGGGCGGTCTCTGGGAACCGATCTCGCAGCCATACGACGCCAATATCAGCCAACATCAGCCAGCGCAGACTCCAAATAGATCAGAAGACTGAGTTGAAGTGAACTAAAAGTGGACTGAAGTGGAGTGGACTGGAGAAGACTAGACTGGGGTTTGCTGGACTGGCCTGGACCAGACAGACTGGATTAGATTGGTCTGGATTGGATTGGGTTTGGGTTGGCAGGCACAAGAAGAGGAGAAGTGGGTCACAAGTCGGTTTCGTCGAAAAAGGGAAATGCGAATAAGATGAGCAGGAGGAGGAACACCGAGGTTGCCTCGACCTTGCTCCATTCTACTCACTGTACCATAGTTGCTCAAGTTGAACATACAATAATATAGTATGCATGACTCTACTCTACCATCTACCCCTTTTCATTATGCTCTGCTCTTCTCTACCCTTCTCGACCCTACCCTACACTACTACAGTCTGCTCTGTTGTACTCCGATTATGTCTTATTACAAAAGCACTCTACCCTATAACATTCATGTCTACCCTGCTCGACCCTACTCCACTACACCCGACTCTACGCTACTGTCTACCTTCCTCTGCTCTTCTCTGTTCTACCCCAGCCTGCCTATACTAGTATAGTATACTATGCTCTTTTCTACTCGACTCATCTACTCGTGTCTAACATGTTTTGCTCTACTCTACTTTACTTTTGAGTGTGACGATGACAGTTGCTGGACGAGCGTTGGGACGCCATTAGAACCACCACAGGAAGCCATTGCAGTTGCAGAGGAAGCCACGCAGTTACAGGGGAAGCCATGTGGATAGCAGAGGAAGCCGTGCGGATACAGAGGAAGCCACGCGGATTGTTGGACGATTGCAGGGGAAGGACAGAAGGGAGGAGCAGTGGACCATTTCTTTATGGATTGAGCTAGGAATCCTACAGGCGAGAAAATAAACAGACAAACTAATGGCTCTTGCATGGTCGAGGCCTCTTGAAGGCTGATGGGGCAATAGTAGGTCCTCCTCCAGGCTATTATGACGATTATTGGGGCTGTTTCGGGGCAATGTTGGGGCTTCTCCCGACAATCCACGCTCTTGGGACACTCTTGGGGCGGTCTCGCCGTCTTGGGGCTCTTCCGAGCTCCACTTGGAGCCATCTTGGGCGATCTTGAGCCTCAGAGGCCCATCGGAAGGGATATGTCGAGAAAGCCACAATCATTGAATTCCTATTGTTTGTTTCATAGATGGTGGTCTATTGGGGGCCTCTGGGAGCTCTTTTGCTACCACCTTGCCCACCTCAAGGAGCAAGGTGTTGAGCGCACTCTTGGAGCTCTTCTGGGCTGCACTGGGAGATATAGTGGAGCCAGTTGGACCCCTCGGAAGCCCATCGGAAGCGAAAGTGCGAGGAAGCCAAAGTCATTGACATATTGCTGGATGTTGAGTGACTTCAGCCTCCTGAGGTCCTAATGGCTGTCTTGGACCATCCTGGGCCGCCTTGAGGCTATCTTGGGGCCTCTTGAGTTTTGTCAGGGCCATTATGTAGCCTGACACGGATTGATCCGTGCTCTTGGTAGTTCATGGAACCTTCTGGAGTTCCCTTGACCCGCGCCCACGAGCAAAGATATGAGTATCTTTGACGGGACCTGCTCGGGACCTGCTTGCGACGCTGCTTCTCCTCCAGGAACCCCGGGGGGCCGCTACGTGCGCGGCAGCTAGAAAGATGGACATATTCTGAACCTCTCACCAGAGGTTGCAGCACGCCGTTGGCCCGATGGGCCTGCGACGACACTCTTGCGTCGGCGGCTAGGCAGAGTCAATGCGCTGGCGAAGGCGGGGTCGGTGGGATGCACGGAACGCGGCTTGGGCAACCATGCAGGAGGGGGGAGGAAGGAGGCGCCCGGCGAGGGCCTGCGAACACACCTGCGCGAGCCCCTGGAGCTCTCGACACCATCCCCGGGGCCCGCGCCGCCGCCGCGGATCGTTTCCTGGTAGCCTTGGGGGCCCAGGAGCAGGCCCCCCCCCGACGCCGAGACATCCGCCGCCGTGATTCTTCCGCAGCGTGGCCGCCTCCCCTCCTCCCTCCTCCTCCCTCCTCCTCCTTCTCCTCCTCCCCCTCCTCCTTCCCCTCCTCCCCCTCCCTCCCTCCCTCCGTCCCTCCCTGCCACCCCGTCTCTTACCCTATATAGCGTACCCCGCTGACAAGGTACCAAAACCGCCACTCCCTGGACCTCTCCAGGGGCCCCTTCCCTGGGACCGGGTTTGCATCCCGAGTCGTTTCCTGATCTATAGGCCTCCCGGGTTGGCCCTGGAGTATAGATGGGGTCGGAGGATCGCGCCGCATCGCCGATGCATCGGCGACCGATGCGGCTCGATGTGGGGCCCAATTTTCCCCACGCCGGCGTCGCCGAGGCATCGCCGACGTCGCCAGTGCATGGCCGATGCGTCGCCGAGGTATCGGAGGTGCGGCGAGGCCCTCCGACCCCATCTGGTCGGACCCCGTCTGGGAGGCCTCTATGCCTGTTCGGCGGCACGAGAGTGACCTGTCGCCAGAGTGACCTTTGGTGCGGGCACACGGGGGCCTCCAGATGGCTGAACGCGAAGCGACAGCAGCCGCTTGCGCGCTCCGGTTCAGCCTCCCCGCGGCTCCCGAAAGTCGCTCGCCAAAGGTCAGTCTTGCCTAGGGTCACACTGTACACTTGCGTGTAGCCGAATCGTCCTGGGGCCGGGCGAAGGACCCTGGAGACAGAAAAAAACAACAAACAAACAAAACAAACATGAACCTTCCATCGCGGTTCGTTCACAACGAGACGGTGTCAGGGTGGCTACAACGACGACGACGACGACGACGACGACGACGACGACGACGACGACGACGACAACATGCGCAGCCTGCCTGGCCCGACGCCCCCCGGGCGTCCGCCCGACAGGTGGGCACGCTGGACTGGCCGCTCTCCGCCACCGAGAGGCGTGTGTTGTTCGGCAAGCGGGAGCAGGACCCGACCGCTCAGCCTCAGCCGCGCCCTGGGGTTTGCATGATCCCCCCTGCCCTGTCCTACCCTTTACTGTACCGCTACCCTTTTCGGCCTGCAGCTCAGCTGCCTCGACGCGCCCGTTCTGATACGCAACACGTGATTGCCGTGCTCCGTGCTCGCAGCGTCCGTGCCAATACGCCGCGTGTTGGCTCAGCGTGCTGGCCCACGCTTTCGCGAACGTGTCGCGCCAGACCTACTTTTCGGTCTATGTGTGGGGGGGCCCGTGTCAGCACGCTACGTCTTGCGTGTTGCGTGTCGGGACAGCTAAGTCCCCCTGCCTTTTTACCATTAACTGTATCGCTGCCCCGTTCGGCTCGCAGACACTGGCATACACACGCAAGTGACGGACTTGTGGAGAAGGTTCAACCTTCATCACCGTCATTCATTCATTTTTATTGCCTATACCAGCGGACGTTCGGGAGGGGGTCGGCCTTTCGGTTAACCCTTCCTTCATACAAGGGGGAGACAAATACAAACTTGTTGGTCGCAGCGGCGCGGATCTACGCCGCGTTCGAAGGCAGCCGAGGGACATTGCGGGGCCCACTTGGGCACAACAGAAGCCGAAGGAGAGCGGGCGCGGGGGAAGGGGACGTAGCACGCTCAGGGCATGAAATCACGATAAAGAAAAGTTTGCTTCGAGCGATCCTCACCCTCACCCAAAAACGCAAGGCGGGCCCCCAGAGAGCACCTGCACACGTTGGGCCTGGCGGCCGCGGTGCGCCGTCGCCATTCGTCGAAGACGCGAGGCGGGGCGCCTAGGGGGCACTGCCACGCGTTGGGCCTGGCCGCAGCGGTATGGTCGAGGGCAACAACAGGGGCGGATAGGCATAGGGGGGTACGCAACGACCCCCAATCGTCCATTGATCGCCGACAGGGGCCCGACAGTCCCATCCAGCCCAGGAACGTGCGGATTCGCGATCGGGGGTTCATCGCCGATCTATTGGCTATGTATCGCCGAGTCCACGCCGATGTTTCCCCCCCCCCATCTGCCAGCCCCCCCACCATGGCCCTTCGTCTGCAGGGCGTGCGAGGCGGGTCAAGAGCACCCCGTGAAGTCTATCAGCTTGGGCGGGAAGCTACCTGAGACGCACCCAAAGTTTTGTTGTTTCCCCATGCGAAGCGACTGTTCATATGAGCGTTCCACACGAAAGAATGCATTGCGAGATTTGGACCATCTGCATGGCCTTGCACTCCACCGTGCGTTCCAGGAGCCTGCGCAAAAAGGCTACTGCTACGCAGCTCGCAGCCCCAGGCGGAACCGCAATGTCTCACATAGATTCCCGTTGCCCTCGACCCCGCCGTGCCTCACAAGAGCCCACGGAAGTGGCGAGACTTGCGCAGTTCGCAGCTACCCAGGGAGCAGCGAGGTCTCAAATGGATCCCCGCTGCCCTCACATCGTCCGTGCCTCCCAGGAGCCCGCGAAAGTGGCGACAGTTGCGCACTTCGCAGCACCCCAGGTGACAGTGAGGTCTAAAACTGATCCTCGCTGCCATCACCTCCGCCGTGCCTTCCAGCGGCCAACGAAAGTGGCGACAAGTCCGCAGATCGCAGTCACCGAGGGAGCCGCAAGGTCTCAAAGGAATTCCCAGTGCCTTCACCTCCACCATGCATCCCGTGAGGCCACGAAAGTGGCGACAGATGTGAAGTTCGCAGCACCCGAGGAAGCCGTCAGGTCTCAAAGGGACCCCCGCTGCCCTCATCTCCGCCGTGCCTCCCAGGATCCCACGAAAGTGGCGATTGATGCGCAGTTTGCAGCACCCGAGGGAGCACCGATGTGTCAAAGGGATCCCCGTTGCCTTCACCTCCGCCGTGCCTCCCAGGAGCCCACGAAAGTGGCGACAGTTGCACAGTTCGCAGCCTCCCCGGGAGCAGGAAGCCTGGCGTGACTACCGCCCCCGCTGGACCTCCCATGAGGCCACGAGAGAGGCGACAGCTGCGCAGTTCGCAGCACCCGAAGGGTCAGCGAAGTTTCGCGTGGCCCTCACCTCTGCCGTGCCTCTCAGGAGCCCAAGCAAGTGGCGACAGTTGTGCAGTTCGCAGCCCCGAGGGGGCCTCCAGGTCTCAAACGGATCCCCGCTGCCCTCACCTCCGCCGTGCCCCCCAGGAGCCCACGAAAGTGGCGACAGCTGCGCACTTCGCAGCACCCCGTGGGGCAGTGAGGTCTAAACATGGACCTTCGCTGCCTCACCTCCGCCGTGACCCCAGGAGCCCACGAAAGTGGCGACACTTGCGCAGTGCGCAACCACCGAGGGAAGCGCGAGGCCTCCAAGGGACCCCCGCTGCCCTGACCTCCGCCGTGCTTCCCGGGCGCCCACGAAAGTGGCGACGGATGCGCAGTTCGCAGCACCCGAGGGAGCAACGAGGTCTCATATGGATCCCCGCTGCCCTCGTCTCCGCCGTGCCTCCCAGGAGCCCACGGAAGTGGCGACAGTTTCGCAGTACGCATCATCCGAGGGACAATCATGATGCCAACCCTTCGTGGGAAGTCATGTGAAAATTGACAGATAGTCCCTCGCCCAGATCTCCCGCCCAAGGAGGTCGAGCCAACACCTCTCCCGAGGCACATTCCCACATTCAGCTCGCACGACACACAGATGAACAGTGCGACTTCTTGGGAGGGCGGTGCGGATTCGACAGACGAGGGATGCGAGCCCCAGGAAAGGGGTAAGGCATAGGAGCATAAAACACTTAGGAGAGGTGTAAAACTTGTTTGGTCGGCGGGTCGAGAGCGAGCCTCTTCCGGTTAAGAGCTAACAAAAAATGTAAAACACAAAAGATTCGAGCCCCAGCTGAAGGGCACAATGTACGCAAAACATGCAGGAGTCGAGCCCCAGGAGACGGGTAGCATCCAGGAGCGTAGGTAAAATACCAAGGAGCCGAGCCCCGGGAGAGGAGCGGCGAAGTCTACACGGGCGCAGCGTGTGAAGGCAAAGCCTACGAAGGGGCCTAGCAGCACTCCCCGAACTCGGATCCGAACGCCGAAAAGTACGTCTTGGGGCCCCTTGGGGCCTGCTCTGGGGGAGGGGGGGGGGAGGGAGGGGGCCGAAAAGCGCGCCCCGAGCACCTATCCCAGCACCGCGAGGGCGTCGCCTGGGGCCCTCTGGAACGGAGAGGGGCCGCAGAGCGCCCCCCGCACACGGATCCCAATGCTGGCATCGGTTCTCCTGGGGCCTCCTTGGGGCCCCCTGGGGGGCGGGAGGCCCGAAGGGCGCTCCCCGAACGCAGATCCCGAGGCAGCAAAGGGGCTTCCTGGGGCCTCCTGGGAGCGGAGAGGCCGAGCAGCGCCCCCCGAACAGGTATCCCGTGTCGGGGCCTCCGGGGGGGCCTTTTGGGGGCAGGGGGGCGGCACAACGAGCCGCGAGCGCCTCTCCCTGGAGCGCCCTGCTCCGCCTCCCTAGATACCACATCCCGCGTCTCCTCCTCGTCCCTCCTTGGCCTCCTCCCCCTTCTCCTCGTGGTGGTGGTGGTGGTGGAGGAGGAGGGGGAGGAGGAGGAGGAGGAGGAGGAGGAGGAGGAGGGGGCGGGGAGGAGGAGGAGTGAGGAGGGGGGGGGAGGAAGGAAGGAAGGATGAGGAGGAGGAGGAAAGAGAGGAGGAGGAGGGGACGGAGGAGGAATAAGAAAATAGGGGGAGGGTGGGCCAGGCGGGAGGGAGAGAGCAAATAGGAGAAGGTGCTGGAAGGAGGAGGCGAAGATGGAGGATGAGGTAGGAGGAGGAGGAGGAGGGGGGGGGGAGGAGGAGGATGAGGAGGAGGAGGAGGAGGAGGGTGAAAATAGAGGGGATGAGGAGGAGGAGTGGGGCGGGTGGAAAAGGCCGGGCGGGAGGGAGAGAAGCAAGGAGGGGCTGGAGGCGGAGGAGGAGGAGGAGGAGGAGGAGGAGGAGGAGGAGGGCGACCACGACGACGACGGCGACGACCCTCGAAACGCACACGCGCGCGCGCAGACATACAATAAGCGTGGAGGACCTTGCCCTTGCGGAGCACCTCGACCTCCTCGAGAAGATCGGGGAGTTGCACCGCGAATGCAGCCGCGCGGCCTGAGCCTGGGCTACCCTCGTCTGGCCCAGCCTCCGACGGCCCCATCCTGGAGGGAGGGGGACTCGGGGGGGGGGGGGGGGCCACTTGTCGAGGGGCGCCAGCGATCCAGCTCACCGATCCTGGCTGGGCCGATCCTGGACCCAGGATGGATCCAGCCAGGGCTGGTGAGGTTCGCCGGCGAGCGAGGAGGGGAATGAGAGGGAGAAGGCCTTCTCGGAGGGCGGCGGGACTTCTCAGAAGCCCTCGCGCCTTCGGAGAAGCTTGTGTTGGTCTTCGGGGAAGGCTTAGAAAACTTCGCAGAAGGTTTCTCGCTTCCCCCCCTGGGCTCGCCGCCGTGTGGTGGATGGTTGATATCCCCCGATGTGGGACAGTCTTCTTCGGCAAAGCAGCGTGCCGCGGAGAAGCGCCCGGCCAGCGATGAATCCGCGCGCGGAAGCGGAGGAGACGGAGGAGGAGCGCCTCTCGGCAGCATCCTCTTGGCGGCGGGGAGCCGTCTTCTTGGGCCGCGCAGCGTGTAACGGAGGAATGCCCAGGCCAGCGATGGACGCTGCACGAGAAGGTGGACGGGAGGAGGGGCAAGCAGGAGGAGGGGATATGGCAACACACACAGACACAAGCATCATTTCAAGACTGTTCGCTCTTCACTGCCCGCGTGACAGTAAACATGTAGACCCCCAACCCTGGAGTCCCGCTCTTGTCGCTCATGAGCGTGCCCACTGTGGGGGGGGGGACATGTTTGTCCTGCGAGCTCATGGCCAAACGGGCGGACCCGAACGGGCGGGTCGGGCAGCAGACCCACATTGACGGGTCGGGCGGGTCTGGCGGACGAACCCTGGCCGGCGGGCCGGGCGGGCCGCAAACTCACAGCGGGCGGGCGGGCTTCCGAGCGGTCGACCCCGCGAATCCTGAAGGAGCGGCTCGGGCGGACCCTGACGGGCGGGCCGGGCGAGCAGGCCCCAGCGGGCGGGTCGGGCGGCTTGACCTCATTGGGCGGGTCGGTCGAGCGGGGCATGAGATCGCGTGTTTTGTTTTGTGAATGTGCGAGGGGGTCTCAGGCGAGAGCAGAGGATGTCCTGGGCGAGAGCACGATGCCAGAGCTGCGAGGGCGCGAGTCCTGGATGAGCAAGCGCCCAAAAGCCAGACGAGGGCAGGAGTCTTGAGTGAGTCGCCAGGTCTCGAGCGAGAGCGCGATTCTTGAAGAAAGTGTGAGGAAGTGTCACGCGGAGGCCGTTGCTCTTGTAGCTCAGGGGCCAACGACGCAGTTCGCCCAGGGGAACGCCAGTTGGAAAAAGCAATGGGCAACGAAGTGATAGCTCAACAACAGAGGATATCGTAGAAGAAACGGACGGGGGGACTCTTGGGTCTTCTTCGGGGGGGGGGGGCTCCTGGTGGACTCCTCGGGCCGCCCGGCGGCCGCCAGGAGGCCGCCCCCCAGGAAAGACAGAGGGAAATTGAGAGAAACAGAAATGGGTCGCGTCGGATCCGGGGGACGCTGATTGCAGCCCTTCCCCAACATCACAACCACCGCACCGGAGAAGGAGGAAGCAAGAGAGGGAGAGGGAGCAGGAGGAGGAGGAGGAGGAGGAGGAAGTGGGAAGGAGGAGGAGGAGGAGGCGGAGGATAAGTTGGGTTCGCTCCCGCCATATCGGACATCCTATCCGTCCCACCCGTCCCTTCCCATTGTGCTGATTTATTTTCTATCCGCCGACAGGTGTCATAGCAGATCTGGAAACCCCCTCATGACCCCATCGCACTATGCGCGAGAAGAACGGGGAGCTGTGTACATTGGAGAAGGAGGAGAAGGAGGAGGAGGAGGAGCAGGTGACTGATGAGCAGAAGGATGCTCAGGATGATGAGGAAGAGGATAAAGAAAGGAGGAGGAGGAGGAGGAACAGTCGCAACAGCAGGAGCACAGGTAGGATGAGCGGGAGGAGCTGGAGGACCATGGGAAGGCGGAGGAGCGGAGAGGGGGGGGGGGGCAACAACGACGAGGAAGGACTCCGATCCAGAAATCAGGCCCGCGCTGGGGCGAGAGCGCCTTTTTGAGCGACGGGAGCAACGCGCCGATCATGAAGTGAGGCTAGTCCTGCAACGGGAGCACCATTTTGAAACACCGGAACGGTCGGATTGCAAAAACAAATGAGAAGTGACAACAGTTGAACGCTTGTGCGTAAGAGCAACACGCAAAGAGGGCGGAATTTGTTCTGGACAGAGTCGGGGGAGGTAGAGGAGTAGTATTCAGATCATGTGTGTAATTTTGAAGGAGGTGGAGGAGAAGGAGGAGGATGAGGGAGAGTAGAGAAGAGGAGCAGGAGGAGGAGGAGGAGGAGGAGGAGGGGGAGGAGGAGGATTAGGAGAAAGAGGAGGAGGGAGGGGGAGGGAGGAAGGAGAAGGCAAAAAAAGGGAGGAGGGAGACAAAGGGGGAAAGGGAGGGAGCAGAGTATGAGAAGGAGGAGGAGGAGGATAAGCAGCAGCAGCAGCAGCAGCTGCAGGAGGAGCAGGAAGAGGAGGAAGAAAGGGAACAGGAAAATCAGGAGCAGGAGGAGGACAGGGGAGCATGAGGATGCGAGAAGCTTTCTGCTCCTCCTGCTCCTCATCCTCCTCCTCATCCTCCTCCTCCTCGTCATCATCATCAGCAGCATCATCATCAGCATCAGCATCATCATCATCCTTATTCACGCTCTTGCCCAGCAACTTCTCGCTCCTGTCACGGGCTGTGCGCGCAGACTATGGGCAGAGGCACATTGGCCATGGTCTTGCCAGCCTGGCCACGACCTCTCCGCAACGTGCCCGCCAACAGCTCCCCCCACCCCCGCGCAATCCGAACCTGGGAGGAGGGAGGAGGAGCATCTCGGGGCTCAAGGGATGGGGGCCAATGCAAACAGGGGTCAGCCAGAGCGCCGGATCTTGCAGGATCCTGCATAGCCAGGGCTGCACTGACCCTGGCTGAGGCGCAGGATCCTGCAGGACTTTGCCGGATCCTGCAAAGCCTGACTGACCTGGGTTGACCCAGGTCAGTAGACCCCGAGCATCGCGGAGGTTTGACACGTCTTGCTTTGGGAGGGCTTCGGGAGGCCTCCACAGACGTCCAGGGGCCTCCCGAGACGTGCACGGGCCCCTGGGGGCCTCAGGGAGCTTCCCTGGAGGCCTCTGGGGCGGCGGCGCGGGGCGTCGGAGGGGCGGCAGGCCGAGCGCTCCCACGCGCAGGGAGGTGCCCGACGGGGCGCCACGCCTTCGGGAGGGGGCACCGCTCGACTGCACGTGAGAGTGACCCTTCTCCTCCTCCTCCTCCTCCTCCTCCTCCATCCTCCTTCTCCTCTCCTCCTCCTCCTCCTCCCCCTCCTCCCCCTCCTCCTCCTCCTCCTCCCCCTCCCCCTCCTCCTCCTCCTCCTCCTCCTCCTCCTCCATCGCCGAACGCGATGCGACAGCAGCGTCTTGCGCGCTTGCGCTTGGTCCGCCCGCGGCCCCCCCGAAGCCGCGCACCAGAGCTCGCTCTTGCCCGGGGTCACTCTTGCGTGTAGCCGCACCGCGAGGCACACGCCGCTCGCTGCTGGTCCGTCCGTGGTGGCTTCCTTCTGGGGCTTGTCTTGACCCAGTCCTTTCTAGGTCGCCCAGGTGGGCTCCGAGTAGATGGGGTCGGAGGATCGTGCTGCATCGACGATGCGGCTCGATGTGGAGCCCGTGTTCCCCCACGCCGACGTCGCCGATGCATTGCCGACGTCACCGATGCATCGCCGATTCATCAGCGATGCATTGGCGATGCAGCGCGATCCTTCGACCCTATCTACTCGGACCCCATCTAGGAGGCCTCTAGGCTTCCTCCTGGGGCTTGTCTTGACCCAGATTTCCTCCTTGGCTTCGAAGATCTGCTCGCTGGTACAGCTTCGTGTTGTATCGGCTTGCCGCGGGTTGGCTCATCTTGGCTTGTTTTAGATTGGCTTGACTTGACTCACCTTGGCTTGGCCACGACACCGACTCCACTCAGCCTTCGGCGCACTTTCGCCCTTGCTTCCGCAACGTTGCTTTGTAAACTGCGAGAAATCCACGTCGGTTGGTACTGTTTGACGATATCCGCACACCCTTGAGAATGCCGATCGTTTGGAGGAGAGGCTGAGGTAGTGGGGGCTGGGCGACGAGGTTCAAAGATGATGATTTGCTGATCTGCGGCCGCTGACATGACTACGAACGGGAGGGCGGGCTCTTGGCGTATGGGGTCAGCGCTCCTCCGCTCGTTCGGATCCCGTTGGTAGACAGGCCCTGCCTGGCAGGCACGGCTGTAGCCAACCCAGAAGTTGCCCGTCTCGTCCGGGACCGCTGCTGGCTGCGAGAAGATCGCGAAATTAGTGATGCATGTGTTTTTTAGGCGGCTGCGGGCGGAATAGCTCACACGCCCTGGCTACGCAGGAAGTCGCATGAGACGATTCTGCAGCCAGCGTTGGGACGCACGTGCCCCAACCAGGACAGCGTTCCAAGAGCCGATATTACGCCCGTTCCGATGTAACCCCTCTCCGTATTCTTGCGCACTCAAGCGATCAGTTATTCGACGTGGGATTGACATCATGATCTTCGGCCAGCTGTTCTGGATGTTTACCAAGTGGGGGCGAGATTTGGACGCCACCTATGCTTTCCATATTCCGTGTGCATGCCCTTGCACGACGGAATTCGAGAATGGGTAGCGTTGATTTTCCAGCATGGAGGTTTGGAGTCCTCCTGGGCCATCTTGGGGGGGGCTTTGGGGCCGTCTTGAGGCCATCTTGGGGCCCTGTTGGAGCGTCGTGGGACCGCCTTGGAAGCATTGTGAAAATCTTGGGGCGAGCTTGGCTGTCTTTGGGTGGGTTTGAGCTGTTTGCGCTGTCTTAGGGCGGTCTTGTTTGCTCCTTGGGCTGTTGCTGGAGTTTGTTGAGGCTGGTAGGGCGGCTTTAAGCCGTGATTACCCGCCTCGGCCAGAGCCGCTCCTCGGCCAGAACTTCTCCCAAGGGTTCGTCGGGACTTCTCCCCAATCC